GTAGCTTTTTGGCAAATGGCGTTTTAGCATTTGTAAGGGTTAATCGTTTAAATGTGCAATATTTTAGAGGCTAGGTTTAAATTACTAGCGAACGAACTCCTGGGTTATTTTTCATCTTCATCATAGACAGGTGTATTGAATGGCGATTTATTGACAAACGAATTATATATACACGTATTGTGCCTACTTAATGAGTTTGAAAGTAAGCTAATTCGCACAACTTCTGAGCTGGTTAAATTTGTCATCCACTAGTGAACTTTTGATATTACGAGGGGGGGGGGGACTTCTTTAGTAACCTTTCCCTTTACTATTCAATATAGTCCTATTAAAGTTCATTTCAGTGCTATTTGTCCAAGAGAAACTCCATTAAATGAGGGTGTGAAATTGCTGGTAGCTATTTGATTATCCAGCGTATGACGTGTCTATTTTTATAACTAGTGAAATTTATTGTTTCTGGCAATGGTTTGTACCCATGTGAGGTATCTCACAATTACTATGTTGCAACCAGAAATCGCGTAACTGTGCTTATGTTTTATGCTAACCAGTGGAACGAGCCAAATAAGCGGTTATAATTTTCAATAACAAAATATCTCTTTCTTTTACCTGTTTTATGGATGGACTTCCTTCAATTTTCTTTCCTTATTTATTGATCATTGTTACGTGAGTTCTAACCCTGGCCTTATGTTCGACCAAATTGCACAATCATCTACCATTTGGTGACCATAAATTGAACGCCTCCTCGAGTAGAGAGTCCAATTGGCATTCGATATAGTTTACTTGTCAAGTGCATTTTCACGACCCGAAAAGCACTTCAAAGAGAGCCCGATTTGCACTTTCAGCATGGGATCACTGACGCTGCCTCACCAGTAGCACTAATTAAGGCTCTCTTAAGTTACTTGTCAACGAAGCACATTCCCTAAGCCAAACGAGCATTTCCCGGGCTCAATCTAACGAAACCGATATAATTTAAGGGTTAGTGGTTAACACTGGGATCGCGTAACTGAATGTACTCAGAATGTTCCAGTGATGCCAAATAAGCGCTCAGTTATGTAGGAATTGTAGTTGTGCGTTGTCAACACGAATAGGAGCACGTGTTGGATTCTTTGGTACGATGCTAATCGGATGATAAATGTCAAGTTAAAAGTTTACATGGTGTTAGAAAATTATTTGTCACAAGTAAACTGACCTTCAAAGAGTGCGGCTTCTTTCTAGTTCGTAGTACCTTACTATGGTTAATTAGTGCGAAGAAATTTTTTACATTGTTAAAGTTTGATTGACAAATGAAAGCACATCCTTTTGAGGGTTAGATATGATTAGTGCGAAATCAGATTTCGGTTGATAAGTAAAGCTTGATAATTTAACTTTGCACTTCGAGCTAGCAAGTTGCAGTTTCATTCGGTTTAATTATCGTCAAAATGTCATTTTCTGGTGGAATCGGAGACCGACATAGCGATGGGTACTGAGAGCCGTCTTGGTCTGTGATGGTCCTTTAGTTAAATGTACTAAAAACTAAAAGAGGGCAGCCTTTTTCTTAGAAAAGCTGGTAAAGGATTAGACTAGGTGCTAAAACAGTAACTCAGGTAAACGTGCTGAGAATAATAGGGGATTTGGCGTCACTCACTGTTTTCCCCATACCCAGGTTGCTATGGTGATTTAAAAGCTAGACAATTGAAGAAAAGTTAAATATTAGAGAGATCCATAGCAAAGATTTTTACAAAAAATGTGATAAATTTCCGATCAGTTTCTTGCAATAATTATTCGAAGAAATTGAAACTTTATGACAATCAAAAACTCCAATCTCAAGTTGTATGGAGATTATTTATTAATTTCAAATGTCAGGCTTTATGATATTTACCATTAGCCCTAAGTATGGAGATTAATACTGGGGCTAAACGGCTGTCAATTCTGTCAAGGCTAATCTCCTATTAGTCTTTTTCAATCCCTCAATATGAATGCCCCTAATATCTTCATGTTTTACCCGATTTTATCAAATGGCAGGCATTTTGATAGTTATAATTAGTCCTTTAGTTGCCTTCAGGCTTCATAGTGGGGAAGGGACATCAAAGTGAAACAAAGTCGAGAGGGGGGGGGGAATAGAAGAGTATTTCAAAGATGTAAGAGACAGACACAAAGGGAGAAAATAGGTGAGGTGAGTACTGTGAAAGTAGTCGAATATGACATACAGTGGGGTGATGGTAGTTTGAAGTGAGAAGTCAACTGCCAGTTAATAGACTTTTTTGCCGTATGAATATACGTTGCCCAGGGTGCACCACATGGAGGTAAGTCTATCGCACACCCCCATTGACGGATATTCGGTGTCTTCTCTTTTAGCGAGACGAACAAAGTGGGACAAAAGGGCATTTTGTTACACTTGTCGATGTGGTAAAGCAACGTCGAGACAATCACTCTGCACGCAGTAAGAAATAGTGCGTTCGCGCGCATTCTTAAAGACCAAGCGAACAGACGCACTGTTCACGTTTACACGTGCGCACCACCGAGCCGGGTACTTCGATCGTTTGGCCACGATAGCAGTGGGGGCAGTGACCAATTACATTTGTCTCCTCTGCCCACACATTCTTTTGCCGCACGTCTCTGCCAGGTTCACGCGCCATAGTTACCGTGCACGCACGCGCGCGAGCGCCTGTCTTGGCCCTGAGCTGTTTTTCTTAGCTTCCCTCGTGTACCTTTTGNTCATAGTGAGAAAAATTCGAGAGGGGGGGGGGACTGAAGAGTGATTCAAGGATGCAAAAGAGATAGACAAGCACAAAGGTAGAGAA